AGCCATACAGAAACACATAAACACTTGTATGAGTGGATATTTAACTACCAAACACTGAAATATGGTGTAATAAACTGGGTGACACACAACTGCAAAATACTGCTCCAAAAGGTCTCTCCAAAGTCCATTCTCAAAATAACTGACCAAAAGCACTGCAGGAGCATACAGAGGGTGCAGGTAGGAAGCTTTGGTGTGTATTTAGATATACACAAATAGCCATCCCTTTCAGCTGGGCATAGCAGAGTCATTTATGGTATTTCCCATTTCATAATCTTTGCTTCAGAGCTGGTTTATAAGCTATCAAATAGATCAACATTATCATTAAAAACGGTCTGAGCCAGAAAATATTCTAAAGCTCTCATGGTGCTTTCAATGTTTTTCTCTTCAAAGAAGAGAATTTTCTTTCAAAGAGAGAAAGAAATGAAGTCTGACAAGCAACACACCAGCACAGGCTTCTTGGCAGGCACAGCACCAACACTTCGTAAATTTAGCCACTGGTTTGACCAACCTCTGTCCTCCCTTCCCATCCCACCCCAAGGCCACCCAAAGCAAAGCCCATTGCGGCAGGAACACCAGGCAGGGCCTGGGCTGAGCCATCCCCAGGAGACACTGCTGGGCCCTGGGAGGCCACATTTTAATGGCATTCAAAAGCCTCATAAACTAAGTGGGTACACCTAAAATACACCCAGAATTGAATCTTCAGTTGCATTAATTTTTTTTCATTTCTACATCAAAGTTGGATACAGATCCAGCAAGGAGAAGGTCTCTCCTCTTGAATCAGGCCTGAGTAACAGCTAACCCTGGATCAATGAAGCATTTTCCTAAGAAGTGAAAAATCTCTAAACTGCCTCAGATTGAGCCTTTAATTTTAAAATCAGTCTAATTAAACAGAGTGGTGAGAGGAAGTTGTAGAGACAGAGAACAAAACAGGACCTCATTCCTTACCTCATCTTTAGCATTTGACTTCCTTATCAAAGCTCTTTGTATGTCTTTTCCAAACAAGATTTCCTTTGATTTCCAGAAGATGAATTATGTGTTTGCACTTATGCTTTTAATATTGTATTAATTACCATGAGTATAATCTTAAAGATTGTATCGAGATATCAAAAGATAATACAGCTGCACTTAAATTTGTCAGCTGTGCAATAGCTTGCCCTAATTTTAGATTATCAGCTCTGGAGACCTGCTCAAAGAGTAAGACTGACAGACTTTTTAATGGAGAAAATCGGAGTTCCCCTGGGATCCATACTTTTCTTCTGATTCAGTAAGAAATCCCAGTGGCATTTGCTGAAAGGATCCCAAGATGGAAAATGACATCTCTCTAAGAATTAATGCTTCTCACTCTGATTCAAGTCTTCCAAGTCCACTCTCCCCCCACAGACACACCTGCTGCCTCTTCAGGCTTTTTAGCAACAGGAGAGCAAAATGCCTACTTTGAGTTCTCCAGTCCAGTCCTGTGTGTCAAACTGAAGGAGCATGAATCTGTATAAATAGACAAATTACCCACCCAAAACATGTCATTTAAAATTGAGATGCTGACACAGCCTTAGCTACAGTACTGCTGAGCAGGGGCTGCATCATTTTTTCAATTAAATATTCTTGTTTCGTATTCCTGAGAAACCTCTGGAGAAATGTCTCATCTGAGGGCAGACACAGACAGAAAGTGACTCTGTCTGTTGGCTCCCAATTAGAGGCTCTGGAAGATGGATTGGAGGCACAGCCATCACCTAACAGAGATCAGATATCCAGCATGATTTACACAGCCACAGAGGTGCACATTCAAGTGGGGAAAAAAGTAACAGTGCCAGCCTAGGAGACAGAGCCTTTCCTACTCTGCCACCACTCATTATCCATCTGCTCCTCAGCCTCCCACGTCCTGCTCCTTCCTGCATTCTCCTACTTCACAGTGGTCCACCCAGTCCTACTTGAACCCACTTATCTTTCAGCCCCTCGATCTGCCCCACACCTTTCATCAGACTGATCTGCCCATTTTTATTCAAAGGCACTGGTCTGTCTTTCTGGATGCCAGGTCTTATTTATTCTGGTAGAAATACATACCTGTCATGCATCACTTGTACCTCTCATAGATCTCTAGAGGGATCAGTGTGAGTTTGCCCTCAAAGATCCTAAATGAAGCAAAATTGCTGCCTTTGCGTTTTCTGAAGACCGAGTACAGAATTCCTTTGCAGCAATACACCCTATATTCTGTATCCTACAGGGCAGCAAAATCTGCAGGAGATAGTCCTAAAGAAAAGTAGATCTCCTCTTCCCAGAAACATTCTAGGCCCCACAATCCTCAGAAAACATTGAGTGAGGTCTGAGCAAGAGAAATTTGACAATATTAGAGCAGCTCCACAGCTGGAGGCCAATACCTTCACCACGATATCAGACATTTGGGTCATGGATCCTTGAACTTCTAGTCCTGCTGAGCACCCTCAGCTCCCTGGGTTACTAATGGACAGTGGGGATGCTGGGCACTATTTGTGAAACAATCAACCTCTTGCACAGAGATCTGGCGCCCTCCCTTCTCCCCAAGGCGTCGTGCTCACAGGAATTTTTCGTCCTGAAAAACGTTATTTTATTTCAAGCAGGAATTCAAAAAATCTTCTGGGCCCTATTGAAAGAGATCTAAAAGATCCTGCCTGTCTGAAGAAAAGAAGTTTCTACTTGTCAGTTAAACAAAGGAATAACGCACAGCCTCCTTTATAGTGTGTACTTTACCTGTCATCCAACAGCCCATTATCACGTCACGGCAGAGTGCACTTTTCTACAGGTCACTTTGTTTAAAATGACATGGATAATGCACATGTCAGCGAGCTGACAGTCCCCACCGTCCTTCAGAGATAAAACCCAGCGACGAGCGCCTGTTCTTATCTGGGGTACATGCCTTGGTCTATCATCTAAGTCAGGCAGAACATGATTTCTCCAGAGAGCACTTTTTTCATTTCCTGATTTTAAGAAAATCAAATAAGCACCATTTGTCTTCATCTGAATATGCTTGACCTGCTCAAATGATGATGTCTCGCATTTTATAACAGGCTACATATGCTGAATTCAAATTAACAGCAGAACAAGGCCTTTAGATCTTTGCCTGGGCTGCCAGCACAGCCTGAATAAATATGCCTGTTAGAACTGGGCCTGAGCTACAGGGCTTAAAGCTGGGTCTGGTTCTGGGATTTGAAAAACACTAAATTATTAGGGATATTTGGATCTGCACTTAATCTCATTTCATTAGGGGGAAGACAAAATATAGATCACAGAGATGAAATACTCATCTGGATTTTAAATCCTGCCCGCAGAGATATTCTGTGGGAGGTACAATCCTGAGTTTCTCTTGTGTTGTGTAGTTGGAAAGTATCCTGAACCCCCACCATCCCCAAAAGCTGCCTCTCTGCCTTTTTATACAGGAGTGCTGCAGCAGAAATATTCACTGAAACAGCCAGAGGTTCAGCTCCATAAATGCAGCAGAGACAGGAAATTACACTTTTAGTTCTGGGTGCCATAAACATAGAAGCTGAAATTCAGTTTATCATCTTCCACTGCATAAGGAACATCCTGAAAATGAATAATCACCTCACAGGATGGAATGTAATGGTAATGCATTAAAAATTCATATCGAAAAGTGCAGGTTAATATTCTGTGCAAAAACCCAACAAAACCTCCCCTTTCTGTTGTCACACTGATTAACTCCAGTGATTAGTTCCCTTATGCAAGGAAAATCACTGCAGTTCAAAGTAAACAGAGGTTCTTTAAAATAGTTAGCAAATTATTAAGAAACATGAGGGAAAAATCCTCTACTTGGGAAATTACTGGAAAAGCCGAAGGGCAAAGCTTTGGTGGTTATAGACAGAATGGTTTGAGAATTTCCTTGTCTTCCTGCTACATAAATCCTGTCGAAAACTGATTAAATTCATGAAAGGTGATTTCTGTGTTCACTGTTTCCTTGTAGATTTTACAACATATTTGTACTTGTCTGTTGGATGAGCTGCATACCAGCCTGGTCATCTCTCCTCTTCTTGGCTTGCCTTGGAGCTAGTCAACAGAACCACTCATGAAACTCTAAACAATTTAACATTATCATAGGAACAATATTTTCTGACATTATTTTACTCTCCCCTGACTTCCATCCCCCAACTTATCCAGAGAAAGAGGAGGCAAAAGTCATTACATTATCAAAACATCCCTTAAGGCTCAACACACATATAGTCGTCACAAAATCCAACCTGGAAATAAAGAAATCATACCAGTTTTTCTGCAATGATTATTTCAGTTTTGCCAAAGAAAGGTTAGTCTGTTCACAACATACAATAATGGATAAAAATATGCATCAGTGTGGATACCAGGTCTTCAACACTATTAGCCTTCTAAACAATAAACAGCATTGGAGATCATTGTCTGACTCTTTCATCATGACATTCTTCCCTTTCCCCACTTAGAAACCCAAAACTAGGGGGATAATTAGCAGCAAGGTGTGTCACTTGACTTAATGTACAGTTTCCAAATGTTTCTAAAAAAATATATTTTTATATATAGATACAGATATATAGGTATAGATATGAATATATCAACCACAACACTTCAGTTTGAATTTGCAGACCCTTACCTGCAGAGAAGCAAAAACAGGTGCCAACAGTGGTTAAATAAGTGTTAGGAAGTGCAAATGTGAGGGCTACAAACAGCTTCAGTTGCTGTTACAACTTCCAAGGGGAAATGTAGCCATGGAAAGGGGTGTTAGTGAGACTGGTGTTCATAAACAACCCACACAAACTGAGGCATCAGTATGCTTGAAGATGAATTGTGCAGCCTCCAAAATATTCATTAGAATTCTCTTTCCTTGGAGGTCTATTCCAAAATTAAATTAAAGAACGTGTTTTCTCTGTGTAGAGATGCTTTAGATCAGTCCAAAAAGAAACGTTGAAGAAGTAAAAGATTACAAGGAATAAGGGAATCCAACAAATCCAAGAAATTAATTTTGCTCCCATAGTGATTTTCTTTCTTACCTTTTCTTCTTGATCACTGTCGCTGTCACACTGAAACACAAAAAGAGAAAAAGCACAGGTAAGAAAAACTTGCTACAGCAAAAAAAAGAAAAAAAAAGGAGAAATATTTCTGTGAACAAGACAGCTGGTAACTCATAAACGTTGGGCATCACCTCTGGCACCTTCAGGACCAAGCTCAGTTGCTGTATGGGAGGGAATTTCCCCTCTTGCTCTGGAAGATGATACATTTGTATGCTTGAATCATGAACACATTGCTCTGCAAACACCAAAAGCCATTTGCAAAACCCCCTGTCAGTTCAGTCCACGGGCACAGGAGCTGATGGTGCATGTTTAGACTCCAAAGATGGATCAGGGGAGAATTAAAGCAGTCGTAGAGGAGTGGTTTGCTTTGCTTTGATGGACAGTGTTCCCCACACTGCCAATCCATCGGCTCCACAGGCTCCTCAGGCAGCAGGGGATGGAAAGGGCTCAGCTTTGCCCATCCCATTTGCGAGGCTGCTCCTTTCCAGCAGCACATGGAAGGTTGAACTTGTGGCTTTGCTTACTGCTGCTGAGCTAAAGGATTCAGAGCTCACAGGGAAGCAAGAGCATGCCAACAGTAAACACTTACAATACTATAAAATAGTATTGATATTTAAAATCAGATACTATCAAACTAGTTGATATTTATCAACTGCCATTGCTCAACTTTTTAAGAACTTTTACTAGAGCAGAAATAGAACAGGACTAGAGCAGTCAAGATTCCTTAGGGATAAGCACCAGAAACCCAAACCATGTTTACATTTGCTACAAGTACAAAAGCTGTGCTGGAAATGGGACTCAAAAAAACCACAGAGGTTTGATCTGTCCCACTCAGGTCTGGGTAACTGCAACTCATTCTGTGGGTTTGGTTTGGTTTGTTTAAATCTATAATTTTAGGTTCCAGAGCAGTGAATTGTCCGTATCACCCAAGGGTGAACTCACACCTCTGCAGATCTAATGGCAGATGTTTCTGAGGAACAGGGGCCCCAGGACCAGCTGACTGTGTTGGGCTATTACAGCCCTCAGCTAAGCCCTTTTTGTATTTATATCATACTTAATGCATCTTTGAGTATTTTCATATGACAACCAAATTGCTTTGAAATTAGTTATAGTTTGTGAATTCCAAAGGTTAACTCTACAGTGGGATGTGAATAGACAGAGCCAAATACACCCACAAATACATGTACTTGATTTGCACAAATCAACCCATCTATGTGCTGTTTAATTATAACTTTTCTGTTTCACTGGCCTTTTTCCTTGTCTTTATCAGAACAGGGGGTGAAAAGGTGCCCTCCCCACACCACTGAGCCACATGCTAACAAATTAAAGCTGGAATTATTTCTGTGTATTTTTCAACTAATTTTAAATGAAGCAAAGATTGCATAAAATTACAATCTCCTTGCAGCTCATTCCAAATAGAAATGGAAGTGAAATATTTTTAATAACTGAAATGATTGATATAGCACTAGTTGCACCTAAATACTCTGGTCACAAACAAATGAGAGGGAACACAAAGACATGGGACAATTTTAGCTTGAATTTTGAAAAACTCCACGTTCAATTGAGCGAAGAGTGCACTTAACTGACTAAAAGAAACCTGCACATTTCTAGAACAGTATGGCTTTGATATAAAGTATCATATATTGTGCATTTTGACTTCATCATGACTGCCCGCATGAGGTTTTGGTGTGAGGGTGAGCAAGGCCCCACACCTACAAAAAAAGCAAAGCTGCCCATGGATTTTCATCCATGAAAATCCCAGCTCAGAATCATAGAATCTCCTGAGCTGGAAGGGACCCACAAGGATCGTTGGGTCCAACCCTCAGCCCTGCCCAGGCCCATCCTCAAACCAGGCAGCTCAGGAGCAATTGCTTCATCTGTTTGTGTCTCTTCCCACCCTCCAGGCAAGCTCCAAGTCCTGATTGTAACACCTGAATCCAAAATAAAGCAGGCAAAGAGTGCCAGAATGATTCCCTTTCAGCCACAGGGTTCATGTGCACATGTCCTGTGACCCAGCTGTGCTCACAGCGCTCTGCTGCCTCTCCTTTCCCCCCATTTTATGCCTGGTTTAAGGAATCTCTCCTCTGCTGTTGTTTTTCCTGTCTCATAAGCTTGGAAAAGCTCAGGGTTTTGTGTTCCCTGCAGCGCAGAGGTACTCGGGGAGAGGAGAGCTCGCCAGCACTGACATCTGAATTTGCCAACAGAGCATCCTGAACCCGAGTGGATCTGCAGAGAGTGCACCGAGTGGTGCCGGTGGGAAGCTGTTTCCACCAAAGTGTTAAACCTGCTGCTTTCCGACAGTCCAGTTCTAATTTCAAGGTCCGCTTAATTCCACATCAAATAATTACTGCTATACCCAGCAGCACCTTGTCTCCAGAGTTAAGCATATGGCGAAGGACTGAGACCTACTGGTGCCCATTATGGAAGCAGCACGGATGCCAAGCCGATTAAAAATGCTCCTGCTCCCTCCACAGCGTGCCCAGTGACTGACAGCTCCGTGATTTGGCCACTCACCGTGGCTGCCAGAACAGCCTCTGCTGCTCAGAGCCCACATGGCACTCGGAGGAAACACTTCCATTCCTGCTATTAAATTCCCACACTGACCCGAGGACTTTGCTGTGAGCTCAGCAGGAGTGCACCATCCAATTTACAGCTCCAGCCTCCAGAGCCCTCCGTGCCAGCCTCTGGCAGAGACGAATGATGGTCAAACCCCTCCAGTTCATAAATTATGCAAAGGCAATAAATGCACTCAGCAAACAGCTCTGCCCAGCCCGGCTCCATGGGCACGGCAGCAGCCCCTGCACCGGGCACTGACTGCCCTCATCCACAGGGCCTGGACACAAGGGAAGGACCCACCGTCCAGCAGTGCTTTCCTGGGCCAACAGTAGCATTTTATGGACAAGCTGGAGGGAAATAAAAAAGGAGAGAGAGGAGGAAAGGGCTCCAAGCACTGCACTGGGGTTGTGTTTATGTGCAGCACCTGCCCATGGCTGTGTGCAGGACACTCACACCATGGGTTCTGCACATCCACTAATCAGACAATTCATGTGCAGGGGTAATGCCAAAGAGGGAGAAGAAAGATGTTTCCTACCCAAGCTGGAAACAGAACTGGAGCAACTGTTCGTCCCAGACCTGAGAGTCTGCAGTGAGGCACTCACACACAGCCCCAGTGTCCCGAGCTCTCATGTGCTCCTTCACATTTTTGGATGCCTGCTCTCCCCAGAGATGCTAAAGCACAAGGTGTTTCCACCTCCTGCAGCCTCGCTGCTACCCACAGTTGGAGAACACATTGTGGAAACCAAAGCTGACAACCGTGAAGTTGATTATTCAGAATTACTGGTCAATTTGAAGGCTCGAGTCTGCACTGCTCGCTCAGTTCCTCAGTTCCTCCAGCATTCCTCTACCTCCCAGGGCCACAGGAAGAAGTAAAATGATTTAAGTGCTTTGTGGTTCTCAGAGCACCAGACTGTTTAGGACTTGAAGTGATGGAAATACTTTGTACTGGCCTCAGCTTTGGGTTGAGTTTTAGCATTTCGTGTCTATTATAAAAAGCTCATTTTTCAGTGCTCTCCCATGTCTTGTGTCAGGAAACCATGGCTCTGTGCACAGGCTGCCTCGGAATGCTCTGAAAATAACTGGGAATCCAAAATATCATTCGGAGATAGCATGACCTGATTTTTGGAGAACTGCCACCAGCTCCACTGGAAGCTGCGAGTGATAATGTGACAAATCAGGACAAGGAGGCTGCAGACACATTTTACACCTGAGCAAACAGAGGCTTCTTGCTCTGATTCTCAGGCTCAAGGCGTTCACTGTCTCTGCACTGAACACAAGCTGTGCCTGATTACAGGCACCCCAGACCAGGCTTGAGAAGAGCCCAGAGCCAAATGTCCAAATTTGGCCTCCATTCCCACAACTGCCCTGTCCATCCCCCAGCTCAGGTGGAGCCAGAGGAGCAGAACTGCTGAGCACCCACAGCACCCATGGCCAAGTTCTCAAATGTGCATGGCCCAAAGTGCTGTGAGATCTTTTCAGATCAAAGCCCGACAGGTCCCTCAGTGATTCTGCAAAATAGCTTTTTTATCCATTTCAAAGTCTTGTATTGGCCAGAAGGGACTCAAAATTTTTCCAAAGGACCTACAGCACTACCAGCCAAACCCAAAACAAAAGACAAATAAAGCTCGCTCAAAATTAGCTCCAGAGATCAAAACTTTACAGGACATATGGAAATGTTAAGGTTGCTCCCAATTTCTACATAATCAGGGGTAATAACGAGACCAGACTGAGAGACTTGCACAAAGTTATCATGGTTATCACTTAAACTGCTCCAAGCCCTTTGAGAAGCAAAGTGGCCACCAGCCTCCACATCACTTGACACACAAGTGCCAGTTGTTCAAGCTTCCTCTTGCAGTTATTTCTGCAACTTTCTGCTCAACAAATGCTAATAACAGTCAATGACCCAAGAAACTTGCATTTTCATACGTGTGCTGCGGTCAAAATTCAAATAATTATTGCTAAAATCAGCCCCAGGTGAGGAGAGAACACATAAAGTCAAGGAGCTCTTTCTACCAACAAAACATAAAGCTCTTCTTTCAGCCCCACCTTGAACCTCCTGAACCCCTGCTATCGGTCAGGGCTCTGGAAGCAGCAGATGCACAGAATATGCTCACATGTGACTGCAGTGGGAAGTGGAAAAAGAACCTTCCAATTCCCATGGGAGGTATAACTGCTGTGGAGTTTTGCAGAGGAAAAGGAAAACTGAAGATCAGGGTAAAGATTAGCTGCACCTCCCCAAGCCCCTGCCCCAGCCGGGGATAGTTAAAATGCTCAGTGCATCTCCCACTGCACCCACAGAATGAGCCTGATCCCAATGCCACGATTCAAAAATCAGACACCCTATGTGGCTGCAGCTCTAATTTGAGCCCATTTTAATAACTTGAGAGGAGTCTGGTCCAAATCACGCTGAGTAAAGGTCTGTGCCACCTCACCAGCTCATTCAGGCTGAAGCA